CTGCTGCACCATATGGGTCACCTCCATGGCCAGGAATCGAACTTGTGCTGCAGTGGCTGCAGATAGCTTTCACAGTGTTGTGCTCTAAGCCACTGCACCACCAAGGAGGGCCCATCATTTGAAATTTAATAAGCCTGGGGCTAGGAAAAAAAATGTCACCTCCTGGACGCAGAAGTAATATTATATAATCCTAGAAATTATGTTTGAAAGGCATCTGTCCATTGATCTGATAAAACATGGTAACACAGACATCCTTTCCTGAGTTAGTCTTCCACACCCTACAGAATACAAAAGGTATTAGGAAAGTCACGATATCCTGATAGTTTACTTTCTTCTGAACACGTCTACCTGAGACAACATTCCTTCTCATATTAAGCTGAAATTTATCTCCCACCCGTTGAGCCAAATTTTGCATCTGGAACCACATGCTGTACACGTTTTCTCTCTCCCAGGCAAATAAGGCCAGGCTTGAGAGTCAGCTGGACTTAAATTTAATCACCAACTCTTTTCCTTGCCCACTGGGTTAACCTGGGCAATCTACCTCTGAAAGAATCAGCATTCTCAACAATAAAACTGGAATCATAATAACCACCTCATAAGGTAAAAATCAGATCAGGTAATGTGTATAAAGTACAGACAAATATGACATAAAGCATCTCAAAAAATACAAGTTGGCATTATTCTACTTAATATATTTCAGATTATTTGAAAATAGCCTTATTTTTCTCAACAGTTTTCACTTCTCCAAACTGAGCATCTTTTACTTCAATCATATTTCAGAGTACAGCAAAAATGATTCTTTCCCACATCTGAGTACTGAATTTATTTTCAGCTTAAGCTGGTATTTAGGGTTTACTTTAAATGATCATTAGCTTGAATCATTATAGATAGACTGCAGGTTATTGGTTGTATCCCTGACTCAACCGATAGCTTACCTACTGTAAACACGGGAGACCTCTTCTTTGATACAGCTGGATAAGAAAGAAGGTTCATAGCTCAGCTAAGCTGCTCCACCCTCCACCTGCCTACCCCCTCCCCCATCCCCTGGTTCACTATCACAAGGTCTATACTTTAAAGCCATTTTCTTGTTTATTTGGCCTTCATGAGAAGGGTCTTTCGCTAGTCTTCCCTTAGCCCTTCATCTGCATCTTGGAGGTGAAGTAAGTTACCTGGTAGACAGGCAAGAGCCAGTGGTCAAGTAGCTTATCCCAAGGACTAGACCGGAAGAGGGCGGGGAAACACTATCGCAGCTCACTTTAAGCTAAATCCTCTAACCTAGGCTTGTTCAATGTAGAGGTGATATTTTACCTAGCTCACTCTTATATTTATTATGACATTGTTCAAAATTCAGTGAAAAGGAGGGCTTTTACTTATCACGTCCAGACCCAATCTGTCCCACCGTAGTCTCTAAACAATCCTGCCGCAGGAGCGCTGATAGTATGGAAGTCCAGGGGCAGCTCTCACCTTCTACTCTCCTCTCTCTCCGCCGCCCCCCAAACCCCCCACCAGACGTCGTCTTACAATCAGTCAGAAAACAGCAATGAGAGGGATAGAAATAGAAAGAGCCTGGCAGTTGTAGCTTTTCACATGCTGCATCTGTTCACTGTCAAAGACCCAAATAATAAGGATCACAGAAGATCCTATTTCAGTGCAACTGACTGACAACAAATGACTTCTTCACACTGGAAACTGCACAAGGACCTATTCATTTTAACCCACAGTCTATCTATAAGTTCTGAAAAAGAAATAAAAATCTACCAAGCAGGAAAAGAACAGCACAAGCAGCAAATCTTAAATCATGTACATTGGCAAGTACTGAATAGACTTTTTATGATAAATATTTATATTTGGTTTGTTTTAAAATTTATACCTCAGTTTCCTCTAAGGACAGATATGTGACTTACTTTGTGCCAATGAGGTGGAAAAAGTCTTTGCGTGTGGGGGGGGGGGGGGGGTAGGGTGAGCTGGGAACAAAGGCTCTTAGAGTTTCTTCTCTAATGAAAAAGAAACAACTGGGCGACACCTTTTCCCTCTTTTCTACTTCGGCTATGTGTCACTTAGCATTGCTGCAGCCATCTTGGAAATGCAAGGCAACAGTTGGAAGGGGTTAGAATAGAGGGATACAGAGAACATGTACCCTGGATGACATGGTGATGGAGTGGACAGTCTGGAAGCTTCTACCTGCAGACTTCTCATTTGTACAATGATGTCTCAATGTCATGATACTTAGTTAAGCAGTCTGTTACATGGAGTCGAATATGCCCTGTTACAAAGGCTGTCGTCACTCAGTGTCCATACCTTCTGCTGACATGTTTCATATGAATGCGTGTATACATAAACACACAGATATAAACACATACTCTCTCACTGTACTCTCTCACTGTAGTTGTAGACAACTAAGGAGACAGAAGAAAAGATTTAAAAAGAACAGGTAAGTAGAATAAATGTTAAAATTGGTAATCTTTGGGAAGTAGAACCATGTATGATATCATTTCTTCTCTGTTCCCATAGTTTACAAATTTCTGGTGAAACTAGATACTAATTTTCAGATTTAAAAAAAATCTTTATTTTTAAGAAACAAACTTTTGCAAGAGCAAATTTTTGTAGGCATTGGGAATTTCAATTCTGCTGACACTTCATAGGACTTTCATTAAGCTAAGACAAAGTATCTCTTACAACCTGACTATGCAAAGGAGCTTACATATTTTTCTGCTCCCTGTGAATAGAAAAAAGGGAAAGGGGCCTAATTTGTATCAAGAAAGAATAAAAATTCAATATTTTCTGCCAAATAGAAATAGCATGGGGTTGGGTTGGATGATCTCCAGTTCTGTCATCCAGGGAACCGACTAGGAGAGGTAAAGACATTCCCACAGTTATTTCTCCCAGGTTCTAGCAAATTACATAGCCATTGATTAGCAATGTTTAAAGGCTTTACAGATTCAAAATCACAAATTTTCTCTGCAAAGTTCTGGGAAGTAATTATGTAATTTCAATAATCTGACCTTGAATTTATAGTACTTAGGATTCACACTTCTTATTGTTATATTTGTCAGGATAAACAGAGTTTGGACAACAGGAGTATAAATCTCTCCCAAATAACTGTAATAATTATGTGATTTATTCACCAGTTTCATAATCCCATGCATTATTACTCTGGGAGATGCCTTGTCACGACAGAATTTATTCTAGCATCTGTTTCATTAAGAGAAAAATTAATATGTGAGGCAAAGGGCCAACCATTTTTTCCTTTCAAAGTTATTCTTGTCAACTATAAACATTTATCGTCTATCATATTTCAGCTCATTGCTTACTAAAAGATAAAAGACAATATTTGCTTTTTTAAAAAGTCAAGTGAATGAAAAAATAAATAAAACCAAACCTTCTCTATCAAGTTTTGAAGATACAGTGACAGAGCTAATACGAGAAGGGGCTATGTGGTAAGAACAGGTTGGTGTCCAAATTCCATGCAGGCCAAACTTGGGAGCCGGGCAGATGCTTTATTGAGGGGGGAGGAACAAAGGGAGCTTTCCTGGGTGAAGGTTGGGGATCAGGGAAGCAATGAGGACCCTCCAGGGAGCTCTGGGAATGAGTCAAATTTCAGACCCAGAAAGAACAAGAGCCATGTTTAGACAAAGGTGTGGATAACAATTTTGCTAAGGAAAGAAGGGAGACAGATGTGGAGAATTAAAGAATAATCACCTCACAACATCACAATAGGCATGCTGCAATTGGCTACAAAATCCTGACCTCATCCTACAGTATTGTGGTCATTATCCCACACTCTGGAGTCAGACAAAAGGTTTGAGTTCCAGCTTTTCCATAATTGCTGCATGACCATGGGTTACGTCTCTTTCTTGCTTTCTCCTCCCTCTCTCCCTCCTCCCTCCCTTCTTCCCTCTTTCCCTCAGCACCTTGTCTCCCTTCTTCCCTTCTTCCTTTCCTTTCTTCCCACACAGACCAACATTCCCTTGTTGAGCAGATCCTCTCCAGGGCTTTCTCCACTAGACAGTTAAAAGTCCCTTTCCCTTACCTCAGCACCACCGCATCCTTCCTCTGGGACCTCCTGAAGAGTGAAGAGTTTGCCACTGGAGCAAACTTTCTCCCCAGGTTTGCAACACAAGGAAACTTGTCTGACCTTGGAAATCTCTTCTATAATGCTTAAAACAAACACCACCTGTGGCTGCCTCTGAACAAAAAAGAATTTTTATTTGTGCCAATACTTCATGTTGGAAGGAGGAAAATGCTTCAGGGTAGTACCTATTACGTTCTGGAATTTAGCCACTAAAGGAGGCCATGGGAAGGGCTATAGGTTTTAACAAGCACAAACATTTAAAAAACAACAGTAGAAAAGCAAAGTAGGGCAGCCCACGACAAGCAATTAGGAGTTTTTATTCCTGAGTGGATAATATGTGGTTTCACTTAAGTAAGAACACAATCTCCATTAACTTAATTTGTAAAGGAAATAACTCCAACACTCCCAGCTATTGCCCTAGTAAGGCATTTTTAGACACATCATTGCTACTTTGAAATTAAAAGTGAATCAGTCCTGTGGAGTTAATTACCAGTAAATATAACCCAAAGTAGGTCTCCCACATGGCACTTAGCCAGATAAGAAGGCTCTCAGTGTCAGCCAGAAACATTGCAAGATGTCAGATATACCAGATACTCGAAAAGCTAAGTTTATATATGTGATGTTACAAACGTCACATATCTAAACATATAAAAAAATTAGAATAAATGCAACATCCGCACTGACACACAGGATGGAGCTCTAGTTATAAAAAGACCTTTTAGACAGAGATTTAGAAAAATGCCCCCAGCATCTCATAAAAGAAAACCTTCAGCTTGCTGTTGTTTCTGAAGTCTATTTCCCAAATGCTTCCAGAAAGGAAACTATACCTATTTCTTTTCATGCTGACATAGGGACCCTACTAAATTACAAATAAAAGACAATGATTTTTTTAATGAAAAATAAGGATCAAGAAAGCCAGAACAAAGAAGTTACTTTTATCATTAGTGCTTTGGGGAAAAGTGTCATCCATTATAGTGTTCTCAGGGAGGTATACAAGAAGGCCAGAGACAGAAGAAAAAAAAAAAAACTCAGAGGAATAATTGTCTGAACTTTAATTAGATATTTGAATCAAGGAAAATGGGAACAGATGAAACCTTAGTAAGAGAGAAATGGTGCATGCACAAAGCGGGTAGATTAATAAATGACTGTGATTGATCATCGGTAGTGAACATATATCTGTTTTGTTTTGTTCTATGGCAAACAAATCAAGACTTCCTGTAACTCCTGATATCATTCAAATGCACAAGTGTTCCTACTATCCTGGCTTCACATGTCCAGAAGTGCAAAAGCCAGCTATTTTGTTTCTGAACTACCCAACTGAGTCCTTTAGGCCCCAAATATGATATAGTCAGTAATCTGAATGCTGATAGATGATTACTTAAAATTACATTCTTCCCACTTTAATTTGGTAAAGTGATTGCCCATTATTTAAGTAAATTTAGAAAATCAAAGATGAAATAACCAACTTCAAATCACACATGTGAGCACAGATTCCCCTTTGAGCTGTTCATTATAACTGAGTTTATTACACCTCCTTTATCAGACATGATATTGTTGTTGACTGTCATCATATATATATATATATACTACATAAAATCATGTTACTTTCTACTGTGTGACTTATCTAAACCATAAAAGAGCACACAGATGGCTTTGCAGAGCCAAGCCAATCATTGATTCCATCTTGAATGTGGCTCTATTTGCAAGACAGTCCCATCTGGGAGTTTTCTCATTAATTGGGTTAAGACAAGAAGAACTCTAGGTAGCCAGAGGTGTCTTGTGTCTCTTTTCAAATAATTGAAGGCCACTTCTTCTGGTGTCTGGAAGAAGTAAAATATCCTTGGCGAATGGGTATTGCTTTAGTATACCACATGCCCGAAAGTTCTAGCATCTAGGAGCATGCAACGGCAGCTATAGTAATATCAGTGTTTGATTATATCATGTGCATTGAAATATTTTAAATGTTTAAGAGAAAACAGAAGGACTTATTCTCCTTAGCAACCATTATAGTACAGAATGTTCAAAGCTGCAATCACACTCATGAGGCAAGTAAGTTGATTACAAAATAAGAGTAGCAACAAGTGTGCATGCTACAGAAAACTTGAAACTGGTACCTAAAATAGATAACCCCCTTATTTGTCTTTACAATTCCATTGCTAGTTCATCAGTTAGCTAACTGGAAAATTTTCACTTTAACGCTCAATGCCAATGATTAGTCTTTCTTAGAAGTGCAAAAGGGAGTGTAAAAGCATGTTTTTCCCCCTCACTGGCTAAGATTCTCTCTCGTTTGGGAATATTTTTACTTTATAAAAACCCTTTTAAGAATAAAGGGCTTGAGGTCTTAATGGCAACTCATACTGGTGTGCACAACTGTGGCTTCAGTCTTCCAGCTTAATAGTCAAAGGCTAAATGATAACAGAAGTATCGTCCAAAATAGATTACTTTCTCAAAAGACTTCGTGAATATTATCTCCTTCATCAGTATCACCTCCTTTGGCTCATGCACACTCAAGGCGCTTCATATAAACTATAAGACGACAAAGGTGGGGATGGTAACGTTATCAAAGAGGTTTTTCCAAAACAGTGTTGAAATAAATTAACCGGTTCTCTTCAAATGCCAATTTGCAAGTTCTTGAAGTCTCTGGCGTTTTGACTGTAGGGTGTCTCTAAACACAGAAACAACAAGGTGAGGGCAATCGGGCGGCTGTGACGAGGTCTCGGCGAACCCCAGCTAGAGAGGGACCTGGGTTCGGGTTTTCCATGGGGTGCAAGGCGCAGCCTTCGCGCCGCTGCGTCGCGCTCGGCCGCCGGCGTCTCGGTTCGGGCGGGGGACACGACTGGGACAGGACGCGATCGCGGTCAGGGACGGTGGAAGCCGAGAGTGTCCGCTCGCTCGCGCCCCGCGGGGCTCACCAGTGCTGGCCGGCGGCGCGGGTGCCCAGCTGCGCCTGGGACACGGCGGGCACGGCCGTGGCGGCCACAGCGGCGGCGGCCGCGTCGCCGACACCCGGGAGGACGGAGCGCACGGAGCGGCGGAACTCCTCGTTCCTCCACGTGTAGAGCAGCGGGTTGAGCGCGGACAGCGCGCAGCACAGCAGCCAGCTGGCCGCCTGCACGCCCCAGGGCACGGGCAGCGAGAAGCCGCTGGCCAGGCTCACCCACACCAGCGGCTGCGTGGCCAGCAGGAAGACACAACAGAGGAGCAGCACCGACAGGCCGCTGAGGCGCCGCTGCGCC